CTTCCCCCTGAGTGCACAAATTTTTGTACACCGGGCCTCTAGTACAATATAATGAGAAGAACATAGCATCACTTCTGTGATATTCTTGCCAAAGTATTGAGAAATATTTTATAAAATAACTATCCTATGACCTTTAAAAGCATCAGGGTCATGGAAGGCAAGTAAGGATTGAGGAATTGATCCAAATTGAAGGAGGCTAAGGCCACATGACAGGTAAATGCAATGTATGGTTCTGAACCAGGTGTTTTTGCTCTGGTGGACATTGTCAAGGCAGCCGGTGAAACTTCAATGTGATTGTGAAGGAGAAAAATCCTTGTTTGTAGGAAATGTGCACTAAAGTACCCAGGGGTGACAGGGTATTGGTTTGGCAACTAATTCTCAATTACCCGGGAATATAAAAAAAAGAATCCTTCTTGATGTATTTGCAAATTTTCAGTAGTTGAGATTGTTTCCAAATAAAAATTAAATTAAAATAAGCTGTGCCTGTGCTGAAAGGTGGCATTTACAGTGTATGTCTTATCTCCCCTACTGCCCTCCCTCTGTGCTTTGTGTGTCCCTATAACTCAATTTGCCACCTTCTGCACCTTATTTTTCTAAGACAACTTTCTGCATGCATCACTAAAGCTGCAAAAGGCAGTGGTGAAGTTTTGATAGATTCCCTAATCTTAGCACTGGTATTTTTATATGTCTCTCGACATCAGCACTCAGTCAGGATTCATCTCTTACTTCCACATATTAGAAAAACTAATGTTAATATTATTTCTAAGAAAAAAATTACTATATAAATATAACATGAAAATGTGATAACCTATTATTTCTTCACACAAATAAATACAGTTTTCTAAGTTCTCTTCCCATCCTAGTCCATATACATAAATTATTTTCACATGGTTGTAATCACACCATAGGTACAATTTTACATTCTGCTTTCCTTGTTTGAACATATTCCAATATTTTCAGAGAGCCTCTGGGGTTCTTCTTGCCCTCTGATTCTATGATTACATTTTTGAAACACTGACCCCATAATGTAACTGGGAGACCATATTTCATTATTCAGTACCTGCAGTGCAGGCACCTTATTGCTTCTACCCAGTCAGTATAATACAGTTATGCTACATATCTGGAAGTTTCTATCCTGATGCATTGTCATTTGACAACAGCTTTGAAGTCACTCAGACCAGGGATGGAATTCCAGCTTTGCTTTGGGCCAGTCACTAAATCTTTCTGAGTTCTAGGTTTCAATCTGAAAAACAGGGATAATATTTATCACATGGTATTTGTGAAGATTAAATGAGAAAATGAATGTAAAGTTCTTAGCAGTATGCTGGGTATGTAGTAAGTTCTGAATAAATGTTTGTTATTGTTCATCATCTAAGAGATGCATGACTAATTAGTAAAATTGAACTTACTCCAAAGATTTAATTTTGTGACTCTGTTTTATTTGTGATGAGTAATGGGTTATTTTTTTAGGTAGTACCAAGTATCCAAAGAGTTAACTAGGAATTCTAAAGAAATGAACTTATTTTCTAATCATCAGAATTGAGAACATATAGGAAAACTAGAGTGACAGCTGATTAGTCATCTTTCTGCAACACCTGGTTTAGGTTTTCTGCCTTCCAAAGAAAAAAGAAAAAAGTTTATAAAGCAACAACCCAAGCTCTTAAAGATGTAGTCACTGGAGCAGAAAATAAATATTACACATACAGTTTGCTTTTTAAAAATGGTCAGTTTGCTATAAATTTGTTTTTAAAAAGTGGTCAGTTGTCTCTGAATTTGCCGAATTTCTTGCACAGTCCAGTAATTACACATTTTGGAAAAAGGATAATGTCCCAGCTTATAAACTGGACCCATAAGGAAGTTACTGTTCATATTAGTAAAAAAAAATTCTACAAAAATGGTTCTTTAAGAAATTCCTTGAAATAGAGGCCCTCCTTGCTTGGGCAATCAGTAAATATTTCACAGAAAGGCACTGGCTGAGAAATTTAGTGTGTAGGGGCCAACAGTCACTGCCAAGTGTGACAGGGTCTCTCAAATTACACATCAATTACATTTTATTGACAGAAATTCTGTTTTTACGCTAAAGCAGAAGGGACAGGAATCCACTATGTAAGTTGAAGAACATTTAATATCATGAAGCTCAAGCCAGTTAAAATTCTAAAATAAAAAAGAATTAGAAACATCATTGAAAAGTATCTTCAAATATTTTTATAAAAGAAGCTTTCAATAGTTATTGTGACCTTAGAAAAACACACTAGTCTTGCTACCAAGAAGGAAAACGAAAGCAAAATGTCATGGGCGAACAGATGATAACAGTCTTTTGTCTGCTGGAGGAAGGTACTGAAGATTCTGAGGCACAGGAAAGGAAGAATGTGTTTTAAAATGCAGACTTTCCCAACCAGCTTTGACTAATGTCATGCTACCAGCAATGAGAGAACCATGCGTGTGCACAGCCAAGTACTCTGAGCCAAAGTCATTAAGCTGACACCAAAAGGAAAAGAAACGTGTGAAGAGAAACAAGGGGACAATGAATGAATGAGGAAGAAGGCTGAAAAGAAGCGCTGTTGGCTGTTTGCATCCCAGGAAGGCGTGGGGAAGGAAGACGTAGGTGGCTCGCTCTAACAGAAAGGAAGCAAGGGGACACTACGCGGCGGAACCATCCATGTGGGCTGCCACTAAGTCCCTTCTGTGTCCAATGTTGAAGATTGAAAGGGAATGCTAAAGTACTAGTACACCCTCCAATGAATTTGGCCATGAATATTAATTTAAAAGGTTATTCAAACATCCTTAGGGATGTCAAAAAAGATCATCTCACGTAGGGTAGACTTTTTAATTTTTTTAGTGCAAATGAACAAAGTACATTCATTGCACCAGCAAAGGCAGGAAGTTTCCGCATTTCTTAGTTGGCATTTGGGATCCACATAAGTCAAGATAATGGCACTGGCCCGGTGGAATATCTGTAAGCTGAAGCTAATATGGACAGTGGCATCAGGAGTACCTCCCCTGGCCCAGCAAAATGCCTTGCAGATTTAGCATAAGAGACTCAATAAGAAAAAAAAGGAGATTAACTCTGCTTCTCAGTAGCTTTTGAGAGTGGGATGGCTCTGGGGTCAGGAATGATTTGCTAGAAATTGCAAGTGCTCTTTCTGTGAAAATATCTTTAATCGGAGGAAATCCACTTAAATGAAATAAATGATCTAGCATAATGCAAAACCTGGTTTCAATAAACAAGCTTAACAAATGGAGTGTTAGGGCAGTCTCTAAATGTTTCAGTAATTAAGAGTGTTCTCTAATTTTCTCATCGAAGGGTAAACATTAATATTTTGACTCTCCCTTTAAAAGACAAACCATCCATCAGGTAGATGCCTTGTGCCAGCAATGTTTTTTTTCTTCATTTGCTCAAAAGAAAAAAGGGAGTCAGACACATATGTAATACCTTAATCAATAAAGAAAGATGTTTTATTGAAAAAACGTCAGATTGTTTTATGCTAAATGTATATAAAATCTTCATAAATGTGCTAGTTTATTTTTCTAGAGAAAAATCCAGAGGAGACCCCCCCCAAAATCAGGGGTGACTTTTATTGACCCAAGCTCATGAGCTAAGGAGAACTGACCTTTCCCAGGTTGGCTTCCTGCTTAGAATGGACCAGCGGCTTTTTCCCCCAGTTGGATTCGATCAGCTTTGGATACAGCACCCTTCACAGGCCTTCTGTCCACCTGACGTGTTCAAAATTTGAGGGTTAGAGCCTTGTTTCCTTAAATACCCTGGGGCTCCCTTAGGAAACCCTTAAATGAGTCTTCGAAGAGAAACTGGAGTGGCAGAGAAGAAGGAGAAATCTAAAAGAGCAGGACAGCCCAGCTGGTGTGGCTCAGTGGTTGAGTGTCAACCTATGAACCAGGAGGTCGCAGTCCTATTCCTAGTCAGGACACATGTCTGAGTTGCGGGCTCAATCCCCAGTGTGGGGCATGCAGGAGGCAGCCAATGATTCTCTCTAATCATTGATGCTTCTGTCTCTCCCTCTCCCTTCCTCTCTGAAATCAATAAAAATATTAAAAATAAATAAATAAAAGAGCAGGACAAAATGCATGAAGTAGCTTCAGCTGTGCCTCAACTCTATGAATAAAAATTTCAAATGGCCCCAAAGCTATGAGTGACCCTACTAGGAAGAACATGTGCTCCGATCACAGCACCAGAGTTACTGTCATAGCTGTTCTAGGAAGACAAGTTTTGCTTTCACAGATACCAGTAAATTGAGGACTTGGGAGCGTTTTACTGCTCCTGACCAGCACACGGCAGACACTAGCCTCATCCTTGTGTACTTAGTTAAGGACGCCTCCACTCTGGCACTCTCATCGGCATAGGCTCCTCCCAAGTGATCCAGGGTAACCTGGCAAAACCACAGCGCAGCACACACCAGGGAGCTTGGTGCTGGCTGCAAACACTGGCTCCATTTACTGCCAGAAAAGAAAGGCCTGCTCCCTTTTCACGGACAAGACTCCTGCTAGGGCTCAGTGTGTCTCCCAACTGGGTAGCCACAAGCCTGTTTCCTCCTTTAGCCGGTAGATAATGGAGGGTGAGATGAAAAGGAATACAGACCCTCGATACCTTTTACTTGGAGTGCTAACTAATGCAGGGCCTCGTGTCTGATCTTCTTGGCTGAGGGGATGGCAGATGGCCCTCTGAAAGCTTTTCAAACCCAGGCTGCTTGCAGCAGAGCATGAGGGGGGGTTGTTATATTTCCTGTACAGTGGTAGGAAGCAGCACCAAAGAAAAGCACACAATTGTGCCACTTCTCTGGGAAGCTTATTACAACCTTACAATGAGGGCTAATTGGCTGAGGCCAAAAGCAGATGCAGAGGCAGCTTTGAATATTACTCAGGAGAGGTTTTAGAGAGCAGGGCCGGGAGGAGGCTGAGGCGCAGAGGAGAGCAGCCATGGGAGGAACATTGACAGGGAAAAGGTGAGGCCCAGATGAAGAGGGAAAAGAGAAGCTGTTATTTTAATCACAAAAGATCCATGCTCTTGTTTAAAGAATTTCTTCACACCCACCTGCCACTTCTTCCCCAAGCCTCCTCCTCTGGAAGATGTCAACAGGCAGGCCTGGCCTACAGAGCAGCGACCGCAGGACACTGCTGTTACCATGACAACTGTAGTGAACAAGTCTTGGAGCCTTTAAAGGAACTTTTGTGTGAGCTCCTTGAAGTGGACAGAGGAGGAACGAAAACATACTGAATGAACACTTGCTGTACACCAGGCTAGTTCAAGAAGCTTCCTTTATTATTTCATTTAACCTCCAAAACAATACTGAGACACATTTTTAGATCATTTTGCAATTGAGGAAACTCAGGCTTAGGGATGTGAAATAACTCGCTCAGAGTCCGACAGAGTCATTCAGGCATTATAACTCGCTCAGAGTCCGACAGAGTCAAATTCAGGGTCTCCTGACTCCAAAGTTCAAATCCTTCCTGCCACTCTATTCTGAGTCAATTCTTCTAATAGCAAGGTAGTGATAGCATGTGATAGTATGTGCTCAATAAATGTTTTCTGAAAGCACAACTAAACTGAACCAGAAGTGGAGACAGGGAAGAAACTCTAAAAAGTAGAAATAATAGGGGAGAGCTGACACTAGTAGTAAATTCTTAGCTAGGGGATGGCCAGCCTAACTGGCCCTCAAACCAATATACACACAAATTCAAGCACAATTGTTTGCAAAAAAAAAGGGTATT